TCCGCATCGTCAACGTCATCCTCGCTGATGACGTCATCGGAGTCCGCATCGTCATCGTCACTGATGACATCAGTTACGTCACTGATGACCTCACCGGCATCCGCATCGTCATCGTCATCATCACGGATGACGTCACCAGTGACGTCACTGATGACATCATCGGCATCGTCACGTGACCCCCCCAGGTCACTTCACCCCCCCCCCCCCAGTACCCTTCCCTCCTCCTCCTCAAGAGCTGCGCTCTAATTCGGTGTTACAGGGAGTTGTAAACGGCTTTCACTTTTTAGAGCGCAGCTCTTAGGGGCCCGTTTCCGGCTTGAGCGGCGTCGCCGTCGGCGTCGGCGTCGCCGTCGCCGTCGGCGTCGGCGTAACCGCGCGGTGCATCATGGGAAATGTCCCATAATGCACCGCGCGAGCCCCCCACCGGGGTCACGTGACCTCGTGGGGGCACGTGACCCCCCGAGGTCACGTGACCCCCGAAGTCACGTGACTCCCCTGAGGTCACGTGACCCCCTCCTCGAGGTCACGTGACCCCCCGAGGTCACGTGACCCCCGCCGATGTCGCGTGACCCCCCGATGACGTCATCCTCACTGATGACGTCACCGGCATCCACATCGTCATCGTCATCATCACTGATGACGTCACCGGCATCCACATCCTCATCGTCATCATCACTGATGACGTCACCGGCATCCACATCGTCATCATCACTGATGACGTCACCGGTATCCGCATCGTCATCGTCATCATCACTGATGACGTCACCGGCATCCACATCGTCATCGTCATCATCACTGATGACGTCACCGGCATCCACATCATCATCGTCATCATCACTGATGACGTCACCGGCATCCACATCGTCATCGTCATCATCACTGATGACGTCACCGGCATCCACATCGTCATCATCACTGATGACGTCACCGGCATCCGCATCGTCATCGTCATCATCACTGATGACGTCACCGGCATCCACATCGTCATCGTCATCATCACTGATGACGTCACCGGCATCCACATCGTCATCATCATTGATGACGTCACCGGCATCCGCATCGTCATCGTCATCATCACTGATGACGTTACCGACATCCGCATCGTCATCGTCATCATCACTGATGACATCATCAGTGACGTCACTGATGTCGTCACCGGCATCCGCATCGTCATCATCACTCATCACTCGCTGATGACGTCATCATCACTGATGACGTCATCAGCGACGTCACTGATGACGTCACCGACATTCGCATCGTCATCGTCATCATTACTGGTGAAGTCATCAGTGACGTCACTAATGACGTCATCGGTACCCGCATCGTCATCGTCAGTGATGACGTCATCAGTGACGTCAGTGATGACATCATCGGCACTGGGGGTCACGTGACCCCCAAGGTCACGTGACCCCCCACTGGTTAGTTTAACCCCCCCCCCAGTGCCCTTCCCTCCTCCTCCTCAAGAGCTGCGCTCTAATTCGGTGTTACAGGGAGTTGTAAGCGGCTTTCATTTTTTTTAGAGCGCAGCTCTTAGGGGCCCGTTTCCGGCTTGAGCGGCGTCGGCGTCGCCGTCGGCGTCGGCGTAACCGCGCGGTGCATTATGGGAAATGTCCCATAATGCACCGCGCGAGCCCCCCACCGGGGTCACGTGACCTCGGGGGGGGGGGGGGGCACGTGACCGCCCCGAGGTCACGTGACCCCGGTGCATAATGGGAAATGTCCCATAATGCACCGCGCGAGCCCCCCACCGGGGTCACGTGACCTCGTGGGGGGCACGTGACCCCCCGAGGTCATGTGACCCCCCGAAGTCACGTGACTCCCCTGAGGTCACGTGACCCCCGCCGATGTCGCGTGACCCCCAATGACGTCATCGTCACTGATGACGTCACCGGCATCCACATCGTCATCGTCATCATCACTGATGACGTCACCGACATCCACATCGTCATCGTCATCATCACTGATGACGTCACCGGCATCCGCATCGTCATAGTCATCATCACTGATGACGTTACCGACATCCGCATCGTCATCGTCATCATCACTGATGACGTCATCAGTGACGTCACTGATGTCGTCGCCGGCATCCACATCGTCATCGTCACTGATGACGTCACCGGCATCCGCATCGTCATCGTCAGCATCACTGATGACGTCACCGGCATCCGCATCGTCATCGTCATCATCACTGATGACGTTACCGACATCCGCATCGTCATCGTCATCATCACTGATGACGTCATCAGCGACGTCACTGATGACGTCACCGACATTCGCATTGTCATCGTCATCATCACTGGTGAAGTCATCAGTGACGTCATTAATGACGTCATCGGTACCCGCATCGTCATCGTCAATGATGACGTCATCAGTGACCTCAGCGGTGACATCATCGGCATTGGGGGTCACGTGACCGCCCCCTGGTTAGTTTAACCCTCCCCCCAGTGCCCTTCCCTCCTCCTCCTCAAGGGCTGCGCTCTAATTCGGCGTTACAGGGAGTTGTAAGCAGCTTTCACTTTTTAGAGCGCAGCTCTTAGGGGCCCGTTCCCGGCTTGAGCGGCGTCGGCGTCGGCGTCGGCGTCGGCGTCGCCGTCGGCGTCGGCGTAACCGCAACCCTCGTAAACCTCGTGAGGGTTACGAGGGTTAGGAGGGTTAATCTCATGAGGGTTACCCTCACGAGGATCACGAGGGCCACGAGGGTTACTTACCCTCGTAACCCTCACGAGGGTTACGAGGGTTCATTACCCTCAAAAGGGTTACCTTCACGAGGGTTACCCTCACAAGGGTTACTAACCCTCGTGAGGGTTACGAGGGTAAGTAACCCTCGCGAGGGTAACCCTCGTGAAGGTAACCCTTTTGAGGGTAACTAACCCTCGTAACCCTCGTGAGGGTTACGAGGGTAAGTAACCCTCAAAAGGGTTACCTTCACGAGGGTTACCCTCACGAGGGTTACGAGGGTCAGTAACCCTCAAAAGGGTTACCTTCACGAGGGTTACCCTCACGAGGGTCACGAGGGTTATGAGAGTTACCCTCACGAGGGTCACGAGAGTTACCCTCACGAGGGTCACGAGAGTTACCCTCACGAGGGTTACTAGGGTTACCCTCACGAGGGTCACGATGGTTACCCAGGTCACGTGACCCCCCGGGGTCACGTGACCTGGGGATATCCCCGAGGTCATGTGACCCCCCCGTTGACGTCATAGCCACTGATGACGTCATCAGTGACGTCACTGATGACGTCACCGGCATCCGCATCGTCATCATCACTGATAACGTCATCGGCATCGTCACGTGGCACCAGGTCACGTGACCCCGCCGACGTCACGTCACGCCCCAAGGTCACGTGACTCCCACAAGGTCACGTGACTCCCCCAAGGTCACGTGACCCCCCGCCCCCCCAGGTCACTTGACCCACCCCCCAGTACCCTTCCCTCCTTCTCCTCAAGAGCTGCGCTCTAATTCGGCGTTACAGGGAGTTGTAAACGGCTTTCATTTTTTTGTTAGCATTCCTCCGTACCTCGTGTACCATAAATATGCTTACTATTTCTTCTCACTTTCAAGTTGTGTAGTAGCCGGCGCCAGTTTTAACACTGCCAAACTCTCAACAATCAGCATTTACTATCTTTCTCGATATCTCTCTTTCTTTCCATAGAAACGAGAGATAACCACCGACCCTGCCGCGTCTCGCCATTGGCTAAATTACCTGCCTACCGCGTAACGATCGTGGGAGCAAAGACGAGCAATGTACACTTCTCAAAAATGCGCTCCCTCCAGTCTTGGCTGCGAGATATCTTGGTGATCAAAAAAACTTCGCCGACTTTGCTTAACAAGACTAACAATTTAATCAAAAGTTTCGTCTCCCATGCGGGAAACATCATCAGTAAAACCTACAAGCAGGAATTCCTGCTTGTAGGTTTCACTGATGATGTTTCCCACATGGGAGACGAAACGTTTGATTAAATTGTTAATCTTGTTAAGTAAAGTCGGCGCAGTTTCTTTGATCATTAGGATTCCCGGCTTTTGGAACACTTTTGCAGATATTTTGGTGGCGCCCTCCTATGGTGTCCTCTCGTGACGTCATTACCTCGCGAACAACAAGTTCGATTGTGTTTCTAATTAGATTGGTGGAAGCTTGGAATCATTCCTCTCTCAAAGCAACGCTGCAAACACCGCCAAAATTAAGGTTCTTACATTAGACTTATTTCCGTCGAAGAGAAATCCTTTGCTGACGTCACCATGAGCATTCGGCCAATCGTGGCAGGCCGACCACAGCGACGCCATCGATCGCTCGCGTCGCCAATTGGATACGTGAGCGATCGAAAGCGTCGCTGTGGTCGGCCCACCACAATTGGCCGAATGCTCACGGTGACGTCAGCAAAAGGATTTCTCTTCGACGGAAATAAGAGGAATGTAAGAACTTCAATTATGACAGTGTTGGCAGTGTTGCTTTGAGAGCGCTATGATTTCAGGCTTCCACCATGCCCATCACAAACACCATCGAAATTATTGTTCACAAGGTAATGACGTCACAAAAGGTAACCGAACGAGAGCGCCACCGAAACATCTCGCCGCTAATAGCTGCTCCGAGGCCGCCATAGTATGGGCAGGCATTTTAATTATCATCTTGCATCAGACACGAGCACTTCGTTATCATGAGCTTCGCTCCTCCGAAGCAGTGCCCAGAATATGACGGCCGTCGGTGTTGCTTAATAGACTTTTAAACATAGATTTTTGCGAGCCTGTCAGTTTTTCACTTCTCCTTCCTCTCAAAATGCCTATGCTGGTGAGCGCGTGTAGATAGCTTGAACGGTTTTCAGGGTCCGTGAGTGCCTTGTACCCACGGACCCTGAAGCCCACTTTGCAACAATCAAAGAACGCCTTACCACCTACACGAATGCTGTTTTTTTTTTTTGATCGTTTTGGTAATGTTTCCTTCGACGACCCGCCATGTCACTTCCCTTTGAATTGTGAAAATATTTCTAACTTGACATCGTCGGCAGATCGGCCAGGCGCAGCTCCTGACACCAACGGCCCCCTGCGCACCGGCGACCAGTTCTACATTGTGCTGAAAGGGAGGTTGGAGTCCCACTCGCTACTCTTCTCGGCTGAAGTGGACGCCATTGACAACGATGTGCCGCAAGAGCCCGGGTCCACTGCCGCTTACGTCGAGTTCAAGACCTCCAGAATCTTAACTCATCCGAACCAGGAACGCAACTTCTTCGGGTAGCAGGCCGTTTTTTCCCAGAAGCTCACCGCGGTCAAAATTCCGTTTCAAGTATTAGAATGTGTTTAGGGTAACAGTCACTAGAAGACAAGGCCACCGCATGACATCACTGTTAGTGAATGTCCGACCTGCCCCCAAGCGGCAAAGACGCTGAAGTTGGACTAGTGTCGCCGCGAAGTGGCAGACGAACGCGTCTGCCACCTTTCTGCGTCTTTTGCCGCGAATTGGGTTCTCGCCGCGTCTCTCGCTGCGAAGTTCGACGAGAGTCATTGCGAAGTGGTACACTCGAAGCGTCTGCCACTTCGCAGCGTCTCAAAACAAGCGTCGCGTTTGTTGCGTGACGCTGCAGCGAGACGCGCTGGCGCAATATTGGCCGGTGACGCTGCTGACACAAGCTAGGCAACGCTGCGTCTATCCACTAAGGATGACGGTTTGGGGGGAGCAGAACTTATCTTCAAGGCGGTATTGTGACAGGCGTATCCCATCCCTTCTGTGAGGTGTGGAGTTGTGCCACTTTCTTTTTTTACAGCGATAGCTACTACGGGCCCTTCCCCCAACTTGAAATGAGGATGTCCGGCGTCCGCCGCGTTATCAGGTGTCCCTAATCTCGCGTGACACCATGACATCATGACGTCCTGTGACGTCATAATATCATCTGAGGACACAGTGTCAAGTGTCGTCACGGTTTCATGGGACGTCAAAAACGTGCTAGTATCATAGCTCATCCGAACCAGGAGCCCAAGTTCATCCGGCGGCGGCAGACCTTTTTCTCCTACGAACTCACCGCGCTCAAAATTCAGTTCAGGGGTAAATCATTATTTTTTTAACACAGGGTTACTTTTATTAGTCAAAGTTCATAGAAAAACTGACACTTTTATCTATGATGTTATTCGTGAGAGTATACACAGCCTGTAAAGTCATATACAAAGTACGTACGCCCACAGGTCTCATTTAGAACGAAGCTGCGGCGAAGCTATTCTTAGCCGGGTGTCCCTTCAACTGAACTAAGCGGCGTAGGCTCTCGCCGAGCATTATGGAAACAGCAGGGGCGTAGAACGGCTGCGTAGGAAAGCAAGCATAAGGTCACATTCCGTAAAACGTACCTAATAAAATGAGACGAGCTTGATCATTTTGACAAAAACCGGGGTGCACGGAATGTGTTCAACGCAAACCTCACACTTTGTGTGTAGTTTTCGAGTGATGCTGATGTGTGCATAATAAACCCCACGTTTTTTATTTTTGTCTGTTTTTTTGTAAGCGTAGTGAACTTTGTGTAGTTTTATTTTACTACCAATACACCCTGCGTCCTTTTAAACTGCTAATACGCATTTCGTGATATGTAAAGTATACATGCTGTGTATTCCTGAGTAGACATACACCTTTCATGACCGAATACGACCGATTTATTGTGTCTACTAGGCATAACTGGGAAACTACGTTACTGGGCTAAATAGGGAATATTCAGGTACAAAATAAAATAGCGCAAAAAGAGACAGGCACAAGAGAGTAGAGAGGACAGGCGCTGTCCTCTCCATTCTTTTAACAATTTATTATTAATATTTATTTATTATTGTTCTGTCCTTGTCTTCTTGCGCTTTTTTTTATTTTGTAGGCGTGACTGGTTCTGATTTCGCCATAACTTGGCTAAAAATAAATTGTTCAAAAGGTGCTCAGTTTTATATCGTTCCCAATAAGGTTTTCCTTCGATTATACTACTCCGATATTAACTTACATTATGTTCAGAATAGATTTTTTTAAGATATAGATTTGACATGAAACTTGTTTTGAACTCAGTTTCAAAAGCGAGACTAATTAAGAGCAATTTGTACCTATAAATCTGTGTTCGTTTGTTTCAGTGAAAACTACATCTTTCGCGCACTCCCGCATTACCAAAGGAATAGATATCGAATGGTCACCCCAATAAACATGATTGTATTGATATTTAAAAAATGTCTAATTATATGGAAGGTAGAAATAAAAATATTTAAATAGTTTAAAGTGCAATCAGAATGTGTGCTGACAGATACGAAAGAAGTTGTTACACGCAATTTGATATCCGTGAGAAAAAAAAAAAACGCGTATAATGTGACTTTCACGAGCAAATTCGGTTCGCCGACACTTGGCCTCATAAATTCACGGGGCATCGGTGGAGCAAGTCCCATTCTGAAATTGGTAGAACGCCGATAACAGCCTATGCCCGTGATTGTTTCAGTAGCACGCGTCTTCTTTCTTTTTCTCCCATTAGGAAGAAGCTCCTGTCTTGCTGGAGCCAGTCTTTCCTGGCAGGCGTTCCTAGGATCGTGTTTGGCTTTCGGACTGCGGATGGCGAGGTGCAATCCGTGGAAGAATTCAGCGTCGAGGAGATGCCCTCTCTCGCCGAGGTGACTTCAATGCGTTGCTTACGTGTTAAATACATTTCCTATCGAACATTCAGTCGTGTGAGTTGCACTGGGACATGCAAACCGACAACAATCTTTTTGTCATGAAACCTGTCTTACAGAGATGGGAGAGCTCCTTCGGCGACGTGATAGGTCTGAATCGCTATTGGAGCTGCCATAAGTCAATTTTGGAGCAGCAAAATGGACCTTTGGAGCATAAGTGCACACTTTATTTTCATTCATACCAATGCCACTATTATGTTAGGAGTAATTTGTCGGCCTTTTCAACTAAAAGACATTGTGTACCTCACCTCTCTCACTTACGTACAACCCTTTTTTAGCATCGCTTGCACAGCAGGGACAGTTTTAAACACATGAGCGTTTGTTGTTTGGAAAAGCACCAGAACAAGAAGATGACTAAAGACGGGAACCATTCATAGCAGGAACTGCTGTGAAGGGTTATTTTCGGTACCGAATCCTACTGAATAAATGTTAAAATACAATAATTTGGAGCACAAAAATTAATTTTCATTTCAAGTTCTAGAGGTTGTAATAAAACTGAAATTTATAATTCAATCAAAATTAAAGCACTTGTTATTTGCTTATGAACGTCAATTACATTTTATATGTAGAACCTTATGACACAAATTGGCATGTCACTGATTAGTATGCCTTCTCAAAAACAATCCTACTGAAATACTTAAGTTTCTTCCCAAACTTCCATTCACTGCTCCTGTCAACTTAGTTATAATTTACTTACACCTAATGTAATAGCAAAACAAAAGTCTTACCATAACAAATAAACCTACAGAAGAGTGCATATAAATATGCTTGCAATACCGGAGTATTCTTACTGAGTTTCGAATTGGAGAAAAGTACGTCCAGGATGTCGCAGTCTATCATATATACAAGCCGTTGTATTATAAATATTGTCGCTTTCGCTTTGGAGTAATGCTTTTCCCTTAGCATTTGGGTGTACTGCGGCGAAACAAGACACGCAAAATCGCGATGGCTATACTCTACAGGTCTTGCTTCTTGGCAGTACAACAGTGAACGGTAAGCAACGCATTCAACGAAACGAAACAGACCACAAACATGGGAATTATGGCGAAACTTCCAAGTACTGTGAGTTTTTTTATAAGAAATGCAGTGAAATAGTACATTATTTGAGGCGATATTTGAAAGTTCTGAAAACTCGAATGAGCCTATTGTAACGACTGGTCGTGTATATTGTTATAAAGATTTTCTCTTTGTATTATTTGCAATATTACAAAGATAAATTAAGGTTTCACACAATGTTGGAGGAAATTTACCACAGTTTGTCAAAATGTGGATGGATATAGCAGGTTAAACACTTTGGCTTTGTTTGGCGCAAATGACGCAGCAATCAGATCAATGACTCTTTCTATAGAGAACGCCGTTTTAAGGTCCTTATCCTACGAGTTAGTCGTACCCACCCGACTCATGTGTACTTGGTCTGTTGTGCGGATGTGAAACTCCGTGAGAACTGTGGAAAAGTGCTGACTGTCCTGCATATTTTATGGCAATGCACGCGTTTAGATTCTCAACGGCAATTCTGCATTACGGAGCTCTTTATAGGTCAGCTTCCATTCTATGCATATTTATTTACCCAGTGACCAATGTTTAGTACCATTCCAGCGTGTTTGTGACTTCAAAAAAAAAATAAAGTTCGCTATTTACAGCAGCTTTTCCCAATATCTGGGGTACATTTGGGATACTTCTAAGATACGTTTGGGGTCTTTAAATGACCTTTGTTTGACATATCGCGCCTTTTGTTGCCCCTGTGCCATCAAACTTTGAATCAATCTGTCAGACATACTGCCGACAGACCGGTCTCACCAGCCAGTTTGGTTATGCCACCGCTGTTGCGATGCGAGGGAATTCTTGACTTTCTGCAAGCGCATCAACCTCTCTGGTGGCCTGAGCGTGCAGAGCCCAAGAAGGCACAAGCCGTCTCATACACTGCAGCCTGCGCACTGTGCGTGAAAGTTATGGCGTCGTCAAAGCATACGCCGAACGCTTAGTGAGATCAGTTTATTCACACGGAGGCCACACAGAGCATGAATGTGTATGATATCTAGAAAAGATTGGCAAGGAGGCCTGAAGGTGTATGATTCGTACTTAAATTTTATTTTACCTCCTACTACTAGGCCTAATGCAGTAGCTTTCTGGTTTCTTTTTTTTTTAAGTAATCCTCTAAGCTGAGTGGGAGTCACATGTTACTTGCTGCCAGAACCAAGCGCCTGCCATTCCCGCACTGCGCATACACGAGTTCTGCTTGTATACATGTGAGAGCACGGCCACGTTGTTCTAGGCGGAGATCTGATTGGTTCTCGTAACACGTACCAGGCAGCATATGGTATTGAGCCAAAATTGGAATTACACATGCAAAAGATGTACCAGTGATGTTCCAGTGGAGCCAATCACTTACCAGTATTGTCTGTCATTTTACAAGTTTCCCAATGATGGCCCAACTTGTTTATCAGCCAACCAATACTAGAACACAGTGTCATAAACTGGGGAATATTGGCCTGTCAGTATTATTGGCTTGCCGACATTGGTAGAACATTGGCATAAAAATGTCCAACGTTGGCCCGTCGGTACTACTGCCTTGTGAACATTGGTTGAACTCTGGCATAAAATGGTCAATGCTGACCTTTCGGTATCATCGGCTTGTCAGCATTGGAAGAACCCTGGCCTAACATGGCAAATGGCCTGTCGGTATAACTGACTTTCCGAATATGGGTAACACTGGCGTGAAATGGTCAATTTCGGCGTCACTGTAACATTGGATGGTCAACATTGGAAGTAGGTTATGAAAGGCTGGTAAATATTGGGCAGTCATAGCCACTGGCCAGTATTTCTTTGTTTTTTTTTAAAATTAAGATTAGAAGAACACTGCGTGCTTTCACCTCGCTTTCTGTATTGGAATTAGTGGGCCTTTTCTGCGGATTCTCACAAATCTGGAATAGGTCACCTCCGATTGTTTTGTGAACTGCTATCAACACCACATGCAGATCATTCATGTAGCTTTGAATGGCTAAACATTTTAATTTGTTTTGGAGCCTGAAGACTGGAGCGAGGAGTGGGCACTACTTGTTTACCTCGGAGTGACACCACTACGGACATATTTTAAAAAGTGCACATTGCTCTCAAAATTCGTTCATTTTTAACGAATAAATTTTGGCACAGTATTTAAAAAAGAAGTCTCCTGGCGGAGTCAGAGTGGCGGCCCGTGTTGCGTTAAAAGACCTGGGTCCTTGCAGCTTTCGCACCTTAAACCCCTAAACAGCATTTTACAGCTTGAGCATTTATACAGAGCCAAAATCAGTCTCACCGTGTGACTAACCAAGAATTGGTGTTTCAGTCAATTCAATAGAATTGCGAAGGCAAAGAGCAGCTGTTAAGAATACACAAAACGACCAGTCGTTCGTACCTCTAAAATATAAGACTTCAAATTAGATGCAAGCAGTTATCGTTTACTGTCAGTCATAGTTGAACAACTCATTGTTCTAAATATTCATCAGTAAAAACTGGGACAGCGAAAGAACAGCCCGGTCGAGTTAGCAAGCGCCAAAAAAACACAGTTCGTTATCGAACAGACACATCGAAGAAAAACAACTATAACTACCAGGACATTCTGTTAAGGCATAGTACCTAAAAAAAAAAAAAAGAAACACTATTTGAACAAAAGAAAAATTCCGGGAGCATAAACATACTTTATTTCACGGAGTCTGTTTGAATAAAAAAAAGAAAGGAAAAAAAAAAGTGTTAAGCACAACACGTTTTGCCGATGCCACAGTCATTACTTGATCCGAATATCTGCCTCTACTTTTCTAAATTTCAGTTACTCAAAAGGGGCAGCACTTTAGAATTTTAAGAAAGCGTAATGCAGTAGTGCAGTATAGTATGCAATGCATCATGCATGAAGTTATTTGCTATAGCCATCGATAACTTAAGAAAAGCAGAGCGTGTCTTTTTACTTTACGCTTTTTTTGTTTTTGAATCATTGCTCGATATTCCGATACAAATAATTCCGCAATTCCATTGGCTAGAGAGCGATAATAAAATACTCGGAACTTGAAACACCTTGCGTATACCGGAGTTGGCGGAGTTGGCGGCGCACACGGCTCCCACGCGCGGATAAGCCAGTTTCGAATCCTATCGCTTGTTTTCATATTACGATTTGCTGCTTTACTGGGAAGATCCAGAATATCCTCGACAGTCATGATGCCTTCTAACTGATAACCATCCACGAATTTAGAACATCTATAAAAGCAACCAAAGTGCACTGCATTCAGCCAGTCTTTTGCCAGCGTTCCATCTTTCTAATAAACCGACATAAACAGCCGCGACGCCAGATATGGTGTTTTTTTCTTGGCACGAGCTCGCCAGATTAAAAATTTAGTTATCTCGGCTATGTATCGTTTTGTCACTTGTCACCCCTGACAAAAGTATATTATGCTCACCCAAACATTCTCAGCGACACCGCACTCGAGGTTCTGACAACTGACCAATAACTGAACAGCTGCTCCTCTTGCCTTTTTGCAGGGCCAGTGGTCGGACATGGTCTGCCTGAGCTTTCTCGACAAAATGCTGTCATTTGTAAAGGAGTGCGTGACCGAAGACGACCCAAAGTAAGTCGGTACAAGACAAAGGGAATGATTACGAAATCCATCGCTATCTCTCTCTCTCTCTCTTATAATATTCTTTTCGATTGGTGTGCGGCGTTTGTGCGACAGAGTCGTTTCTCAGTATCTTCAAATCAGGCTGCGAACCTTAGGATCCTCGGCTAAACGCGGTCGAGAATCGCTCAATTTTTGCACCAGCGACCACACGTTCACGCAGGTGGTTACTCAGGATACCCTAGGGTGCCTTCATGTGCGCTTTGCTTAGGGTGGTGGCATCTCGCCATTTTATCCCACATGTTTATTATTATTTTTTGTTCAAAAGCGCGTGAAAGAGCGTGGCCCTGCACGCGTTTGTGGCGTTGACTGTGCTACGGCGACATTTTGTTTTCGTTGATTTCTTTGTATTTTCCCCGTGAGCGCGCGCTGTCGGCATCGGGTACTACAAAGGGTGGCATCACCCTAAACAGAAGGACATTGAAGCACCCTAGGATACCCTAGTGATAACCGCAGGTGTTACCTAAAATTTATCTATTTAGCTTGATTCGTTTCATTTGTATACTATGGTTATTCTCGGTTAGCGTTTTCACCCCCCCCCCCCCCCCCCCTTCCCCTCCGGGCAAATATAACCATCCCTAATAGTTCTTCTCGTATCCGCCGCAGCGATAACGAATTAATTTCTTATATTTTCTTTAACTCGCTTCACAATAACCGCCACAAGGATTTTATGAAAAATTTGTCATAGCTTATTTTGAGAATTCTACAGCAGAGGACATTACCTTCCCGACTGGATCGACTCGTCCCCGACCAGCATATGCGGAGCGCGATTTCGCCTGCTTCTCACGCAGGGGTTGCGATGACGTCAGAACGCTGAGCTGTGATTGGATCCGATTGGAAGGATAGTGGGTAGACCTGAAGGCAGCTAGCATGGAGGTCTACCCACTATCCTTCCAATCGGAGCCAATCAGAGCTCGGCGTTCTGACGTCACTGCAACCCCTGCACGAGAAGCAGACCAACTTGCGCTCCGTACGCTCTAAAAAACGTTTGTGCCTCTACTTCCACGCATAACACTCGGAGAGCCAATCAGCGCAACTTATGAAGCAGCTTAGCGAATGACAATGCCGAGACATATGTTTGGACCCAAAAACCCAGTCTGAGTTGTGAAATTAAGCAATGCAAGCGTGACGTTTTGCACTGCTTAAAGGAGTGATGCAGCAATTTTTGTGCTTTGCGCAAATACCGCTTAAAACGGATCCCAAACGTTAATGACCTATGAAACACGCGTTCGTTTTTCACCCCACGCAATAGAAGTCCCAGAAAAAAATTAAAAAAAACGAGCAGCGTTCACCCCCTCAACTCGCAGCAGGAACAAGTGGCCACGTGATCTGGACCCGATTATATGCCGCCAATGTTGATCATTGCCACGCGCTGGGGTTGGCAAAGCGCAGGACACGCGCTGAGTTCCAGACATTGTTATGGCTCGGCTGTTGTCGTCGTTGCGGCGATTGGACACGGGTCACTACCCGAATGCTTCTCGAGCTAGCAATTATCAGGAGCCCAAGTCGAGTGCCCACGCAATGCTCGGGTCCAATCTATGAACTGCATTCAAATATCGTCACTTGGGTGTACTACGATCCCCACGTTACGTCATCAAATTTTGCAAAGGAGAGATTGAATGAAAATGATCGCTTTTGTCCTTGAAATTACACCGCAACAAACGAGTTTCTTGGCCAGTGGCGTTGCGTGTGAGTACCCTTCAGTCCCAGGTGTGCCAGTGAGCTCGTGTCAAGTGAAAACCATTCCAGTTGAATATCGTTGCACCGCTCCTTTAATGTCACAACTCAGACTGCGTTTTTTGATCCAAACATGTGTTTCCGCATCGTCATTCGCTGAACTACCTCCGTAAGTTGCGGTGATTGGCTCTCCGAGTGTTGTGCGGGAAAGCAGACGCACGGGCTTTTTTTTAGAGTGTATTGCACGGCTGGCTACTCCGACAGCTCAAGAAAGGCAGGGTGTGGCTAGTGGCCGAGCATCTTCTTATCGCTCCACAACCAACCAGGTTGTGTCATTAGCCGAGAATGTCGAAGAACGAATGGCGAAGCCACAGGCGTGAGCACAACAAGCGACAGCCCAGGTTTGTTAAGCTGTCGGGGAGTACGCGGAGAGCAAGCCGTCTTTTTCTTGCGCAGGAATTGCGGTAACGTCAGAACGACACCGAGGTCTGATTGGCTTTGATTAAAACGATAGCGGGCAGACCTTAAAGGTTAGGTGTCTTGAGATCTAGCCATTTTTCTAGAGCGCAGCATTAGGCGCTTGTTTCCGGCTTGAGCGGCGTCGGCGCCGGCGTCGGCGTAACCGCGCGGTGTATTATGGGGAACGTCCCATAATGCACCGCGCCGAAACGTCGCGTGACGTTTCGGTGTGAGTGACGTCACCGTGCCGAAACGTACCCGTGACGACGCGCGTTTCACGCGTGAAAGAAGGAGGAGGGGAGGAGGAGTGGGTACGGATGAGGAAGAGGGACATACCCTCTCCTAAGTACCCTCCCCTCCTCCTCAAGAGCTGCGCTCTAAATCGGCGCTACAGGAAGTTGTAAACGTCTTTCATATTTTTTTTTATCAGCCAATAAGAGCTTGGCGCTCTGACGTCATCGCAACCCCTGTGCAAGAACCAGACGAACTTGTACTCCGCATAGACTTTTAGAGGCCCTTGCCTTTGTTGGTTGGCTCTACACTTTGTTTCAGCTAAAATCTGGCCCACGCTACGAGGTAATGGAACTGATCAAGCATCGTGAAAACTAGGGCGTCACTATGCGTTTTCTGCTTATGATTGCTTCAGCGAGGATAGAACACGTACGGAAACCTGACGAACACCATAATGAAGCGATTTTGACGCTGTCTGATTGGTCCCATCAGCTCGTAGCGTTGGCTGCGTCTGGACTTAAAGGTAAAACCAAGTATAGGAAACATTTCTTCAAATCCACCCAGCCTTCATTGACGCTTCACCCGGATTTAACTTTCCTCCATGTCTTTATTTTTCTTTTTAGTCTTGTTCTACCACATTTCACTTGCTCCTCTTTTTTTTCTTTTCTGGAGTGGGGGGTGGGAAGAAAAAACTAGCTTCGGACATATATCTGCTCGTGCATGATCGATAAGGTACGCTTCACCGTTCATCTAGAAGAGTGGTGTCTACTCTTACTCGGAACGTAAAAGAGAAGGAGGCCAGATGAGCTTGCCTAGTCAATCTCGACCTAGCTGTTTCCCGAGCATTCTAGGGGCCCCAATCTGGGCATTTGTCGAAAACGTTGGCGAGAAATCCGGCGGCTATGATTGGCCGGCGCCAAGGTCAAGTGCGGCGTTGTCCAATCATGGCCGCCAGGTTTCTCGTCGACTTTTTTGTTAAGCGTCGAGATTAGGGCCCTAGGTCGCATATTTGAGATGAGGAGCATAGTGGAGAAAGAGCCGAGCGCCGTTTCGCAGGTTCATTTACTCATTTTTTCTCGGGATAGCCAGCTGTTACGCCGAAGGACCGTCGCTTGCTGCTGCCGTCGCCGACACTCGCTGCTCCTTTCTCAACGTCTGTTCTTCTTGTTTTTGTTTCTGGCAGAAGTTCGTCCCTATTAAATCTTTACTTCATTTCGTTTTTTTTCTACCTGATCGTCTGTCATTAGTTACAATATAACCATAAATAATCATTAAGTTTTTTTTTGCCACTCCTTTTTATCCTTTCTTGATTCTCTATCGCACAGATCATCCTTTAGTATATAACTCAGCAACTATATTGTAAAGCATTCCTTCTGATATCCGTCTGGCAGTTGAGCCGCTTGTCAAATATTCATTTGGTTTTACGACTTAAATTTTATTTCATTTCATTTATTTACCCGAAAGGCGTATTTTACTGACGCGTCACGCGAGGGGGTTGAGCGGTAAAATACATTTGTAACAACATGATAACATCATCCATAATTAACGAAGAATAAGTTGCGAAATCAGGTTAACACGTTACACAGAACTCATTTCAACTTTACACAAAACGGAAATAAGGAAAATAGGGCGTACTAAATTATGCACATTCTACTTGGGACACAGACACTCCCACATTTCTTAAAATGACTCATGATATGTGTTAGTAACCAGCTTGCCTGGCAACTCATGCCATTAATTAATCGGCAGTGTGAGGGGAGAAAATGGTAAAGAATTAGTGTGAGGGCGGAATTGCTGAACTGTAGATGAATTATCGGTTTGAAAATGTAGTCTTAAATTAACATTATTATATTACTTTTTTATTTTATTACATTTTATTACAGTTTATCTACTGGTCCATTGGTTGAGCAAATCGCTAAAATAAATGCCTCTAAGCTCTTACATTTTCTCGCTCCGATGGCACCCCGAGTTTGTAAGCGTCTACATGACAATTCTGAGTTCGCATGCGACGGCAAGACGTTGGCGCGATAAGCAACCAATGAACTGGATAAAGCCAGCAGATTTTTCGTGTCAGACTATCATACTATCGTCTTTTTTGTTTCAGCGTGGTGTATCTCTTTACTTATAATCCCAAAGAAGACTCAAGAGTGGTCTGCAAGAAGCTTTCTGATCCAGGCAAATTTCACATCCTAACGTCTTCGTATTTGGATGCCTTCTCTCATTGATTTCGTACTAAAAAAAAAAAGGCTGTTTAAGGAAGTATGGTGGAATAGGGTGTTTTCCCCGACGTCATTTCGTCCACCATGTTGTTATGAGCAATCTGGCGCGTGCAGAGTGCGAGCACTTTTAAGATTCACATCACACCCTCAAATTGGTTATGAACAAAAGTTTAAAGTTCCATCACGCTGACATCTAACGACAAAATGGCGGATCGACGTCACATGAAAGCACCCTGTACTATGTTTCATACTTAGTGCACAGCGCTGTCAAAGCTGCTGGTGCGAGCATGGGGTTTGGTCTCGCAGATCATTTGCGCGCGTTCTTGCGCAAACGAAACAAGAGATAAAGCCACGCACCCGCGCAGGTAGCTTCTACAGCGTTCGATTCTAAATATGAAACGGAGTATAGGAGGTATTCACTGGACGCCATATTTAAGGGCGATGTATAGAGCGCATGTTCAGAACGAGCTCACATTAATAGCCTGCTAAGACCGGCAAGCTTGGGGGTGCTAGATGCACGCTCCAAAAGGACTGCGGAAGCTCGCCGTCAGCACGCGCTCAGCAGCCGCGCAGACAGATATGGCCGCCAGTGAATACTCCCTATGGTAAACATTGTTTCTCGAGACATGTCGTTGGCCAACAATACACCAACAAAATCTGTTTTTCGTAAAGACGGGTCACACTGCTCATACATCATCTGCATACTGATCCAAACGCGAGTCACCGCGAGATCTGTGCTTCGAATGCCTCCTGGCATTGAGTTCAAGGAGAAACTTGGCTCGCGGCATTCGAACCACGGATATTGCGGTGACTCATGTTTGCAGACTGCCTTTTGTATGATGTATAAGAAGAGTGACCCCGGCTTTACTATTGTCATGCTGGACATACAACATCAAATGTCTTTTTTTTCTTCTGATAAGTTTTATACTGTTCAAGTTTCATATGAAGCACTCACCGTGGCTTATTGTATTCAAGGATTTGTTTGTATTGCCTCATGGAAAATGAAAGATCACTTGAATTATTTCCGAGTAGGTTGTATCACCAAAGCCTTAGAGAAATTTTAAATAAAATGCATTTCAAATAAAGAAATGGGTCCTTTTTGGTTCACGCTGTCCACAACGACGGACTTCAGGCTACGAGCGTAAAGTGATAATTAGTGAATTGATTACCTAAATTTACTAATGATAATAATGTATCTATTTTCTAACAAAATGAATGTTGGAGAAGGCAAGGAGATTCAGCTGTCATAAACCGCTTGACTGACTTCAAGCCCCCAGCATACAGCAGCAGTAAAGTGGCGCGTATGAAAAATGTAATATTACAGATTTAACAGTAACCAGGAAAAAATATCGTTGAACTCAGTCAATAAAAATACCTTACACATGTAAAAACGAATAAAAACTTGGACATAACAAGTGGCCGTTGAAATGAGATGATTTGTTTAAGCATCAGATTTCATTAAGGACTTGTCCATATATTACCGATTTTAATATTTCCTGAGGTAAACTGGTTAAGAATGCCCGGAAGAGTGTTTGTTATTGTATGATGTCCCTGTTCTAATCTGGAAATAGTACTTCCCACGATTCTATATGCTTCGTGTGAGATATGAATAAGTTTCTTTTGTTTTTCTTAGTTGGTTAAATTTTTAAGATAGCGCCTTGTTGATGTTTTCTTTATAACTAGAACGTACGCGGTATCTGTACAAATTATAAATTGTCATTGTACAAAGTTGACTAAAACGGATTTCAGTTGAACGTTTAGTTTTGTCATTGCAAATGTTTCTCTGTATTTTTTGTAATATGAATTTGAAAGATTGTGTGAGTAGTTGTGCACCCTAATAGGTGGCCATAATTTATATGCGAGTAAAATAATGATTATGTATTAGTAGCAGACTTGTACCGTACGTATTACAAGTAATCAAATTACTTGTAATCGATTACTTTTTGGAGTAATTTTGTAATCAGTTGATTACTTTTATTAGGCAGTAATCACAAGAGTAATCTGATTACTTTTTGAAGTAATAAAATTACTTGTAACCGTTACAATTTGTCCACGGGACCCCTCCTCCCCCCCCCCCCCCCCCCCCCCCGGGCACACGCCTTTTTTTTATGAAATGACAAAAATAAAATTTGCTTTTTTTTTCAAACGGAAAAAAGATTTTTGCGCAGCTGTAGGAAACGAGGTCAATCTCTTTCTACGTACAGTTTCTGTGGAATGTCAGTTTTTTTTTTGTTTTGTTTTTTCGAGCTGGGGGGTACTGGGAGTGGGAAGCCCCAGGGAAGCCACAGTGAGTGACAAAGGCCATTCAGGGCGAAGTTTAAGGAAGCATAATGTAACTTTGTGACTCCTTCGTTCAAACTAGCCCCCCCCCCACACACACACACACAGAAATAAAAATAAAATAAAAAAGTCATGCTTAGTGTACCTACTCGTAGCCCGTAGGAGAATCAGAACCGAAGAATGCCTAAAGCGGATGCAAAATATAACAAAGGCAGTTGAAATATTTCCGCATTTCCCCTACGTGGTCTTTGTGACAAGCAATGTTTCGAGTTGAGAAGTGGTCAGGGCGACCTCTTCCGCTAATAGATACTACACCTGATCCGTTTCAAATCCTGGAGCTGCTGCTCTTTTGTATAACATGCGAGCTCATCCACATGTGAATAATAAAATGAACGACGCAAACTTTGAGCGACAACCCTTGCTCAAGCTTAACAAGATCTAGAACCCCCTCCGCTCCCATCTCCCTTCCCCCAACACACACGCACACACACACACTGGCGAACGTCCAAATCATTAAACGTCTTCAAACGAATTCTATGCTTGTGTCCGCATTGTGAAGGTGCAACGACCACGAAGAGGGAGCCAGTTTTTCTTCTTCAATACTTGTGCAAATGTGAAATATAGGTCGGAAGTAGTTCGTTGTTATGAGCGCTAAAGATGTGTCTTCACACAATAAAGTAATCGGAAAAGTAACGATTACTTCTTTAAGTAATGTCCAATTGATTTTGCCGTCGAGTAATCAAGTAATCTAATCGAATACTTTTAGCCAAGAGTAATAGTAATTGTAATCGATTACTTTTTTTTAGTAACGTGTACAAGACTGATTAGTAGCTAGCTTAATCGTATTAAGTGTAATATTATGCCTGTGGTCATATGCCAATCCCTATATTAGATAAGTTGGACAAAACATATTCAACGTGATCATCCCACGACTTAAACTAAAAAAAAAAAAAAACGCTAACCGTTTTGATGATGTAACGAATTTTAATTTTTAAGAATTAATTATTATTTGTGTTTCTTTTTGGGGTAAAACGGGACTGCCTAAGTCTTATTCACGTTTACTTTCAATACACTGTTTTTTTGCATCACAGGTCTAGTTTATCAAGTGTTCTATTTGCATATTTTATAAGTTTTGTGGTCACATAAACAGTCCAAAATGATATCGCTAAGAGAAGCAACTGGCCCGGCAGAGTTGGAATTCCGCACCTTGATGTGCGCTGCCAAGCAGACTTGTACGTAGTTCAACTTCTCTACTCAAGTTACTGTAGTTTGGCTACTTTTGTGAGTAGTTTAGACACTTTCAGTTACATTTTATTTCGGTAATTACTCGCTTACTTTACCTACTTTTTCCGAGTAAATTACAAATGACTTTCGTATTTTACTGGTTATTTTGCCTATCAACGAACATTCCTGCACAAAAAGAGGTAAGATGTTAGAAGATCAGCTGATATTTGCAAAGAGGGGGAAGCATGTGGCATAAAAAAAGGAGGGGGATAATTTGGAGAGTCCGAAACCCCCCAAAAAGTTTCACGAGCCCCCCATTGCAACAACACTGCTACGGGGCGGGGAGCGAACAGACACGACGAAAGAGAGGCCGAGTAACTGTGGGATTATCGCCGAAGACTGGCGTTTCTTTGTGTCCCGAAGCTCAAGATTTGGCCCATTTGAAGAAAGGGCTGGTCCTCGCTACTTCCTAACCTGGGAACTCTCCCCCACTACAGGAGCCGTACACACTGCGTCTTCACTCCAAGGAGGCAACAAAATGCAGCACCCGCTCTGAAGCTCACCTGGTGCTCCTGTAGTTTGTGCTGTACTCGAAGAATCGTGTGCTAAAGGACAACGCGAAGGTGTGCTTTTTGCGTTGCAAAATCCTCATAAAAAATCTGAATATGCAGATATACCAAGATCGTTCGAGAAACTCAGTAATTCCCCAACGTTTTTATATCAAAAATAATAAACAAGCAGCTTTGGAAAGTACTCTGAGTACGTGGTACTTAAAATACTACTTTTTAGAAAACTTCTACTTTACTTGAAGTACAGTATCTGAGCATGTACATGTACTTTATTAAAGTATTTTTTTCTGGTACTTCCGAAGAAAGTGAAACTCCCGACTTCAATATACCTTCCCCGAATTCGAAAACAAAAAAACAAAAAAATGGCGTATCGTCGTGTGAAAACGCGCTCTTTCAAGACGTCATCTGGTCATTTCTCAGGGTGAAGTAATGGTGGCTATTCGACAGACTCAAATGGGTGCCTTGTAAGTTGATTGTGTCAAATAGCTCGTCAGCGAAAATAAAACAACTACTTTGTGGCGACTTGAGTTTATCAAATATTTGCCGCCATTTCTAAGAAACATGATGTGCCTCCGATTACTCCCGAAGCAAAGCATACCAGTTTAAAAAAAAAAAGTGTATAGGAAATAAAAGGGCATCATGAAAGATTGTGCTAAAAGTACTTGTACATTACCTTGAAATATATTGAGTTTAAAGTACGCTACTTCAAGTAAATTGCACCAGGTGTACTTACTACTTTACTTGAAGTACATAACCTTTCATTTACTTTGTAGTTTACTTCAAGTAATTTTTAGATGTACTTTACGCAACACTGTTAACAAGCCAACACTGTTTAAAATATCAAGCTCAGGCAGTGCTGAACCGCAAAGTAGAAATGATACATTCGCTGTACATCATTAACCAAAAAAGCAAAAGAAGTACAAAACAATTAGGCATGAAGAAGCAGAACCAGCTATGAAAGCATTTCTGTGGAAAAACAAGCCGATTCATATTTGGCTAGCACAATTTCGCCAACGGATCAAAACCTATGTACTTTCTTGTTACCATAAAACAACATATAAAGGTAACTTAAAAAGTAATTTGCTACTTTTTTACGAGAATTTATAATTTCCTCAATTACTTTTTATTTGAGTAGTTCCTTTTCTATTCAAATTACTTTTGAGCCCAATACTCGGTAACTTAACATAATAACTTTTTTTGAGTAACTTGTACATGTATAATTTTGAGCCACCATTTGTAACGCAAGACTTCGTTCACATCAAAAAACGAAGAGGTGTTCAGTTCCCGTGGAAAGCCGGAGCTCGTTCCGGACGCTGTGCATGCGCTGCTTCCGACTGCTCCGTGCTACCTGTCAAAGAGAGCGTCGAGCCAAGGCCCCCGAGAAAACGAAAAAACGCCGATGCTTTCTCAGTTGACACTAAAAGAATGCCAAGCACTGCATCTTCAACTAACTGCAGCAGCGCCGCACCGGCTGCAGCTGGTACCGGGGCGTTTGATGAAACCTTTCTGCCCGAAGAATACACCACGCATTGTGTTCCCTCCGAGTACTGGAGCTGTCACCGAGTTCCGAGCCCCAGCGGGATTTTTTCTCGAGACAGCATGCCTGGTGTTCTATACACTGTGCATCTCTGTGGCCGCATGGCTGAAGGAGGACGCGTCGTTAGCTGCGACAACTTCACCCTGTTTCTAGTGACATACTCCTGGTAGGCTTACTTGCCTTAAAATACTCCCGCTAAGTGCAAAAACACTCGGGCATAGCGACACCGCCCAGGAAATTCGTCTGGCGGCGTTCACCTTGCGCGTCGCGCGTTTGTGCTTCGTACCACGCGCAAAGCGAACACAGCCAGACGAATTGCGTCACTCGTATGTCGCGTGTATTTTTTATTTTTTTCGGTTTGGAGGTTTGGATTTAGAACGGCAAACATTTTGAGCCGAAAAGCTTCAACAAAGAGTGTTTAGTCGCGCAGAAAATGCAATGCGAGCCGCCCTAGCCGCCCGCTTCATCCAGCCTA